GTGTTCGTTATGGACCATCCATGATGAGCACAGAAGTCCAATAACAAAACACTGCTCGGGTTCAAATCAGGGTGGGGGGCATTCCTCCCAATCACACCTCTCCAGGTCTCACTGTCATTGCCCATGTGAGCGTTGAAGTCCCCCAGCAGAACGAGGGAGTCCCCGTTAGGAGCGCTCTCCGTCACCCCCTCCAAGGACTCCATAAAGGGTGGGTAATCTGAACTGCTGTTAGGCTCATAGGCACAAACAACAGTCAGAACCCGTCCCCCCACCCGTAGGTGGAGGGAGGCTACCCTCTCATTCACCGGGGTGAACCCCAACGTACAGGCACCGAGATGGGGGCAATAAGTATGCCCACTCCTGCTCTGTGCCTCTCAGCATGGGCAACTCCAGAGTGGAAGAGTGTCCAACCCCTCTGGAGGAGACTGGTTCCAGAGACAGAGTGGTGCGTCGAGGTGAGTCCAACTATATCTAGTCAGAACCTCTCAACCTCACACACCAGCTCAGGCTCCTTCCCCACCAGAGAGGTGACATTCCACATCCCTAGAGCCAGCTTCTGTAGCCGAGGATCGGACCACCAAGGTCCTCGCCTTCGACCACTGCCCAGCACACATTGCTCTCAACCCCTACGGCCCCTCTCACAGGTGGTGACCCATGGGAAGGGGGACCCACGTCTCCTCTTCCGGTTGTGCCCGACCGGGCTCCATGGGTGAAAGCCCGCCCACCAGGCACTCGCCAACATGCCCCACCTCCAGGCCTGGCTCCAGAGTGGGGCCCAGGTGACCTGTGTCCAGGCGAGGGAACACTGACTCCATTTATTGTGTTCATCATAGGGGTCTTTGGACGGCACTTTGTCTGATCCCTCACCTAGGACCTGTTTGCCTTGGGTGACCCTACCACAGCTCCTAGGATCATTGGGACACTCAAACCACCCMACCATGATAAGGTGCCAGCCCAGGGACAGGAGAATGTCCCATCAAGATGTAATGTTTTTACCTGTCTTTATGTGTGCTGTGTCTCAAGACAGCCACCACAGCTAAATGACTATAGCAAAGAGAAAAATGTCCATAATTCAGTAAATTATAGAAAAAAAATAATTAATATTTGGTGCAGTAGTAGCTAAGAGTTATCCACTGTTAATCCTTGGACTGCTAATAGATGATTTGAGACACACAGAAGTAACAGTCCCACAGGACAGTACATAATATTTTGAAATTTTAACCARAATGACTACAATGTTGGTTGATGGTGGGTGATAYRCATTCCTTCAGAGAAATGCAACCCAAGCTCTAAAAATTTAAATTAAGAATCATTTTGATCTGCCTTTCCTCTCTGTCCATGCTGACTGCAA